CAACGCCCGGCTATTTTTTTTTTTGGTTGCAGCCATCATTGTTGTTTGGCGGGTCCGGGCTGGGGATTCGAACCCGCCACCTTAGTTGTACGTGGCTGGCGCCTTAGCCGGTTGAGCTATAGGCGCTGAGCCACCAGTTTGTTTTATTATGAATTTCTGATCTTGTGGTTCTTCTCTGTCATCCAGGTTCTATGGGGCTCTCCTGGGCACAGTTTGCATGCTGTATCTGCTGCCACTCTGCTGGGTCCTTGCCCTTTTAAATAGCACGCTCTTTCTGGGGAATGTGGAGTTCTTCAGAGGTAAGCCCTGAGGAGGCTGGGGGGTGGGGCTCAGGCTGGCTCTGAGGGCTAGGTTAGGCTCCCCAGTTCCTCTGTCTCTACAGCTAATCGTCTCTGTGCTGTGCTTTCCACGAGGGGGGGGCACCACACTAGGGTCCTCCCTCCTGCGTGCTCTGCATCTCTGAGATATCAGATAAGGCTGAAGTCTCACCAGGGGAGGCTGTTACTATAGTGATCCCTATTCCCTTCCCAAGCTGATAAGTCACTGCTGATGTTAGATATGATCTGGGAGATGAGGTAGGGTTGTTTTCCTAAGCTGATGCCTGTCCCCCAGGCCGCAGCCAGCTGGAGTTGCTGCCACATCTGTGTGATCCCACAGTACCTTTCTACATCTGGCTTCTACAGTGTCAAGGCAGCCTGAGAGGCCCTGAGTCACAGAGGCTTGGGCCCACGCCCATGTGTGACTGATTGCTGTATTTGTTTTCCTCCTGTGGTAGGGTGATTAGTATAGAAGTTGTATGTCGAGCACTTGCTACATTTAATTTCTCTCACAGTCTGGGGCAGGTGGTAGTATCTCTGTTTTGTTCATGAGGCTTTGGTAAGGTGACTTGCTCAGAGTTAGGAGGGTGACTCATGCAGCAGAGGCTGGGGTGCTGGAGGAAGAGGCTAGTAAGCTGTGGAAGTGGGTACCCTAAAAGTGCCACTCATTGTATCTCTTCTGCCTCCCATCCTGTTCTTGCCCTGGGTAGTGGTGTCTGAGTACAGGGCATCTCTGCAGCGGTGCATGAACCCCAAGCAGGAAGAGCATGCCTTTGAGAGCCCACCGCCACCGGATGCTGGGGGGAAGGGCGCTGTGCTGGACAGCACACCTGCCCTCACACCCACGGAGGTGAGTGCTCTGACCTCAGGGCAGAGGCTGCTGTCGGCAAGTGGTGGGCCCTCCTGGACCAGCTTGTTTGTACACATACCACATTGCTCCTAGAGGGTCCATTGTAGTTCCCACTATTTTCCAGGACTGGTCTCCTCTCAAGTGTAATAAAAATAGCTATGTTTTTATTAGCTGTGCTTTATGGAATGCTTTACTCTGTGTCAGATGTTGTTCCAAGTATGTTTTTGATACTAACACCGTGGGGTATGGGTTATTTCTGAGAGTGAGGTTCTCATTGGCAGAAGGGATGGCTGAGGTGCACAGAGGGGCTGACCAAAGTCTCATGGCTAGTGAGTGCTGGGGATGGGTCTCAGAACCTCCACCTTGATGTTCTAGAGTCTATCCTGGTCTTGTTCCCATCTCCACATCCTTGCTGGGTTAGAGGTTGCTCTCTTCCCCATGATTTCCTTCTTTCTTGGAGTTATGCCATTTCCTGGTGTTTTGGGAAGCCTGGATGCTGGCTTAGGGAGGTGGCCCTCTGCCTTAGGGAGCAGGGCTGCCATCTTTCTCCTTCTGTCATAGAGTCTCTCTTCCCAGGACCTCACTCCAGGTAGTGTGGAGGAGGCCGAAGAGGCTGAGCCAGATGAGGAGTTTAAAGATGCAATTGAGGTGAGTAGCCCTTCTTCAGCACCTGTTGCTGACTAGGTCAGAAGCTAGGTGGTTACAGAGCTGTGGTTTTTTTTTTTTTTTTTTTCATTTTGTTCTCTTACATCCAAATGAGAAGCCAATACTTGCTGTGAGCAAGTTAGAACTCATTGATTGAAAGGGTGCCACCGGTTCTGTTCCTGTTCTGTTCAGCTGTCTGTCCTGGGTGCCTAGGGTAGGACTGGCCCTGGGAGCATCTAGGAAATGCCTTGTTGGGGGAGTTGGGTGATTTCTTGCCTTTACTGAAAACCATGGGCTGGTGACTTCGATGTAAAGAAGGCAGATTTGGAGGTCACTGTCCTGGGTCTCTGCTCTCTGCAGAATGAGTTCTGGAAGATGTCCCTTTGGGGGACTGGGAGGGGACACTGAGAAAGTAGTTGCATGGCCAAGTGCTAGGAAGGGGAAGTTAAATAGCCTTCTTGATTTTAGGACAGTGATTCAAACTGATAGTTTGTAGGAGTGTTTTGTTTTTTTTTATTGCTTGGGATTTATTGAGGTTATGAAGAAGCAGGTTACACTGATTGCATTTGTTAAAGTTCCTCTTATATTTGTGTCCTGTCCCTAAGAGGTATGCCATACACTGTGACCCCCTCCAACCCCTCCCTCCTATAGGAGTGTTTTATTTGGCACTTAAAGTTTCAAGTACTTTTGCCTGTGTTTAAACATGGGGAAAGATTTTAGTTAGAACTCTAGATTTCTAGTTTCTGTGGTAGTCCTGAGTCTGCAGCAGTTAGTGTAGCTGAAGAATGACTATCACCTTTAGGTCACATGCTGAGGTTACATGTGGTCCTCAACACCTCCTGTCATCCCTGTCACGGAGGCCAAATGGTGCTTGCCATTTATTTATTTATTTATTTAGAGACAGTCTCACTTTATTGCCCTCGGTAGAGTGCTGTGGCATCACAGCTCACAGTAACCTCCAACTCCTGGACTTAGGTGATTGTCTTGCCTCAGCCTCCCAGGTAGCTGGGACTATAGGCGCCTGCCACAGTGCCCGGGTAATTTTTTTTTTTTTTTTTTGAGACAGAGCCTCAAGCTATCCCCCTGGGTAGAGTGCCATGGCATCACAGCTCACAGCAACCTCTTCCTGGGCTCAAGCGAGTCTCCTGCCTCAGCCTCCCAAGTAGCTGGGACCACAGGTGCCCGCTACAACACCCGGCTATTTTTTTGCAGCCATCATTGTTGTTTGGCGGGTCCGGGCTGGATTTGAACCCACCACCTTAGGTATGTGTGGCTGGCGCCTTAGCCACTTGAGCCACAGGCGTCAAGCCCCGGCTATTTTTTTGTTGCAGTTTGTCTGGGGCCAGGTTTGAACCCACCACCCTCGGTATATGGGGCCAGCACCCTATCACTGAGTCACAGGTGCCACCTAGCTTTCCATTTATTGTCACATTTGCATTATTGTTTTTCTTAGAGTAGGAAATAGTTTCTCTTTGTAAAATGGGAAACTGAGATATAAGAAAAGGGGGAGGGTCTTGCGGTTTTTCACCAGGCCTATGATTTATGCTTTGCCTGCTTTACTCCCAAATTAGCTCAGGCCATGTAGACATTTGAATTTTTAACCAGTGAAAATTGCTCCAAGATTTTGGTACATGATTGTGGACTACGTGTCTTGGTGAGGAAGGAGTATGGATAGCACGGGCTTTCAAGCTTTTTTGTGCATGACCCACGGTGAGGAACACACTTTGCATCTTGAGCCAGATCAGACTTATTGTCTGTAAAACATGTAAAACTTAAGTGAAACAAGTTTTCTGAAAGTATATAGTAAAGTTTATTTTTTTCCTCTATTCTGTTCTAGTCAAATAAAAACTCATTAATTTCATCTAGTCTGAAAAACAGTAGTATCAGCTTTCTCCAAGTTTAGTCGCTGGGATCCTCTTCAGGGGGGGCATCTGTTACCATCATCCTTTGGGAGGTATGCGGAACTCAGCAGCACTCCTGTGTTTCCTTCTGCTTGGAGGCCTCTCCCAGCAGCTTCTTCTTGCTATCTCTCTCTCTCTCTTTTCTCTCCTTCTCCCCTGCACATCGGGAGGCAGGAGACCCACTTGGTGGTGCTGGTGAGTAGGAGTATTGCTGAGGTGGGCAGGGGCTGGGCTGGGGGGTGGCAGAGCCAGCTGTGGCTATACTACTCTTGGGGTCTGCTGTGCCGGGTGCCTCTGCACGCAGGTCCCAGAGCCTTGCCAAGAGTTGGGTGGGACTGGATGGAGTTCTTCCCGCAGGAGGATGAGGAGGGTGCCCCGTGCCCAGCAGAGGATGAGCTGGCCCTGCAGGACAATGGGTTCCTGAGCAAAAATGAGGTGCTGCGCAGCAAGGTTTCCCGGCTCACAGAGCGGCTCCGCAAGCGTTACCCTACTAACAACTTTGGTACGCTGGGGAAGAGGGTCACGGCTGAGCGGGGAGAGGGAGGAGTGGCTGGGAGGGACTGATGGACTATGTGTAAGGACATCCCTGCCACAAGGGTGATCTTAGAGCTGTGGGTACTGACTTATAACAAGAGCACTGAGTAGAGATTTGTCCATGAGACCCTGGATTCCTTCTTTTCCCTCTGTCCTTATTAAAATCGCTTGCAGGAAGACAAGGACTTTAATTTGGGAACTGCCATGCCAGGGTAGCAGAGAGCTATAATCCTGAAACAGGCAGACCCTCAGAGGTGTCGATGGTTAACAATGGCGTGGAGTCTCACTGGTGCAAATCTTAGCTCAGCTGGGTGTCCTTGAGCAAATAATGTCACAGCCCTGTGCCCCAGTTTCCCCTTCTATAAAAGAGAGATAATAGTCTTTGCAGGGTGTTATAGGTCTCAACTGTGGCATACTTGTGAAGGGCTAGCACAGTGCCTGGCTGGCTCATAGACAGTGCTTAGTAAGTGGGTATGGTTAACATGGGAGACCCTAGCCCACTCTGGGGGTTCGTAGGAGCCTGTCTTGGTCTTTCTAATCCAGCTGAAAGCAAGTTGAAGCAAACAGTATCTTCCTTTGGGCACAAAAGAGACCTGAGGTCACATCTCCCCAGCCAAGTTTATAGATTGGTTATTCCTCTGTTCTGGAGTTAGTGGAGTGGTCATGAAAGACAGCTTTGGAGAAGGGTGGACTTGACTACTAGCACAGCTTGGAAACCTGGCTCAGGTCAGGAGTGCTAGGAGTGTCGAAGCCAGATGAAATTATGGTGGAAGCCCAGCATACTGGTCACCTGGGGGGCTACCATGGTCCTGAGGAAGCCTGAAAGGGAGCTGAAGGCTCCTGTGCTTCTGCTGTTGTACCTGACAGGAGCAGGGTAGGTGGCAGAACCATGTGTTCCGGTGTAGAGTGAGTTCAAGGGTCTGTGTCCTGGCAGAAGCCCTTGGGTTTATCTTGGGAATTTGACCCAGGGCCTCCAGGGGCCTGCCTTCCTGTCCCTGCAGCAAGTAGGGCGCTTGTTCAGGGTTAGAGGTCCTTCTGCTGTGGGAATGAATATCCCTTGTCCCTCCCTTTTATTAAGCAGATTGTGCGCATTTCCGCTACACAGTCTCATTTCCTTTTCGTGGGAGATGGGACAGGATCAGCAATTCTCTCTTTTTTTTTTTGAGACAGAATCTCAAGCTGTCACCCTGCATAGAGTGCCTTAGCATCACAGCTCACAGCAACCTCAAACTCTTGGGCTTAAGCAATACTCTTGCCTCAGCTTCCCAAGTAGCTGGGACTGCAGGTGCCCACCACAACGCCTGGCTATTTTTGTTGTTGTTGTTGCAGTTGTCATTGTTGTTTTAGCTGACCTGGGCTGGGTTCAAACCCGCCAACTTTGGTGTATGTGGCCAGTGCCCTACCCACTGAGCTATGGGTGCCGCCTAGGATCAGCAATCCTTAAGGGCTTGGCGCAGGTTCCAGAAGTCCCAAGTAACACTCCACAAGACATATTATTCTTGTCTCAGCAAATAATTTGTTTACATCTATGACTTTCAAGTTAAGATACTTAGATATCTGTTCCCATTTTACAGATGAATAGATTGAGGTAAAAAGAGTGATTTGCCTGAAGACTTGAGCAAAGTGGTAGAGCTGTAACTCAAATTCAGGTCCTCTGAGCTGTGACTCAAATTTAGGTCCTCCAGTATTCTTTCTACATCGTCCTCCCTCTCTGCTTTCCTTTGCCCTTATGTCTGAAGTCCCTTATTTTATGTCTTGTTTTTGGATTTGGTTTAGAAAAATCCCTACCCGGGATTCAGGCTCCTTTGAAGATAGGACAGAAATGCTTATTTTCCTAAGCTGCCCCTGGCTTCTTGTCCCATTCCCTGAGATGTCGTCAGGCTCTTTGCTATGAGGGCAGGTGCAGCAGCTCTGCCCCCAAGGCCTCTCCTGGATCTGAGTCTCACGGGCCAGGTTGAGGTAAGCTGTTTTGGATGCTCTAATGAAGTACACCAAACTGGGTGACTCTGAAACAGCAGGGATTTCTTGCAGTTCTGGAGGCTGGGGTCTGAGGTCATAGTGTCAGCATGGTGGGGTTCTTGTGAGGGCCCACTTCCTGGCTTATAGATAGTGCCTTCTCCCTGTGTCCCCACATGGCAGAGGGGACAAGGAAATTCTCTGGGGCCTCTTCTGTGAGGGCATGAATCCCATACATGAGGGCATCACCCTCATGACCTAATCACCTCCTGAAGGCCCTACCTTCTCATACTATAATACCATCACTTGGATTAGAATTCAACATAGGAATCTGGGGGGGCACATCGCAGGGGCTACTACATTCTGGCTGCCAGTGGATGGGTGATGCATGGGAAGAATGAGGGCAGACTGTACAGGAGCATCTCTGAGGCCTCTAAAGGGGAGAGTCGTGGTGGGGAGAATTCCCTCTGTCCACGGCTGGCCCCATGGGGCCTTAGTACTCTCACGGCTTCCATGGCATCATTGCATGGTGAGTTAGAATATGCGAGTTTAAGGTGGCACCTGTGGCTCACTGGGTAGGGCGCCAGCCCCATATACTGAGGGTGGTGGTTTCAAACCGGCCCCAGCCAGCTAAAACAGCAGTGACAACTGCAACAAAAATAGCTGGGCATTGGGCAGCACCTATGGCTCAGTGAGTAGGGCGCTGGCCCCATATACCAAGGGTGGTGGGTTCAAACTCGGCCCCGGCCAAACTGCAACAACAACAAAAAATAGCCAGGCATTGTGACGGGCGCCTGTAGTCCCAGCTACTCGGGAGTCTGAGGCAAGAGAATCACCTAAGCCCAAGAACTGGAGGTTGCTGTGAGCTGCGATGCCATGGCACTCTACCGAGGGTGACAAAGTAAGACTCTGTCTCAAAAAAAAAAACTGTTCAAGTTTGAGTCTATTGCTGAGAATAGGGGCAGAAAGAGCTGGTAGATGTTGGAAGGGACCCATCCATCACCTGGCTGAGCTGGTGGCCCTCCCTGGACCCAGGCCTGTGTGTTGGTGTCTGGCTTTTTTTTTTTTTTTTTGAGACAGAGCCTCAAGCTGTCACCTTGGGTAGAGAACCGTGGCATCACAGCTCACAGCAACCTTCAACTCCTGGGCTCAAGCAATTCTCCTGCCTCCACCTCCCAAGTAGCTGGGACTACAGGCGCCCGCCACAACACTTGGCTATTTTTTGGTTGCAGCCATCATTGTTGTTTGGCGGGTCCGGGCTGGATTCGAACCCGCCAGCTCAGGTGTACGTGGCTGGCGCCTTAGCCGGATGAGCCATAGGTGCCGAGCCTGGTGCCTGGCTTTTTGACCAGACCACCTGGCTGCTGTTGGCTGCTTGGCCCTGGTATCCTGTCCAGTTCAGAGGAATCCTTGGACATGGGCCAGGGTGTCAGTCTTTGGGCAGCTCCTTTCACCTGTCCATTCCTCTGCCTCCCCTTGCTAAGGAGAGGTCTGGTGTCTTCCCCAGATGCTTAGTGTAGGGGCTGTCAGAGCAGCCAGTTTCATGGTTTGGCCCCAGCAGCAGCATGGGCTGTGTCCTGCTCTCTCCTTTCTTCTGCCTGGGCCACTAGCTGACTGACAGCAGTGGCATTTACCTGAAGCACCTTGGTCTCAGGTTTCTCCTGGTCCTAGCTCGGGTCTTTTCTTTCTTTAAACCCAGGGAGTTTCCCTTAGCAAGAGCTGCAGGTGATTTGTGCTGGGCAGACCACATGTAATTGTAAGTCTTTTGGGGTCTTTGTGTGAAGGTGAGGCTTGGTGTTCTGTTACTGGCCAGGTGGTGACCTGGGCGGGTCAGCAGTTGCTATGGCCAGATCACAGTAGGCCTTTGGGCCCCACATCAGAAACCTCCTCTTCCCTCATCTTTCATCTCTCCTTACACTCCCCTTGCCTCCTCCCAGCCATTTTCTCAGCTGCCATTGCCCCTTCTCGTTGTCCGAAGTTTTGTCATCTTGTCATCTCTGCTAGTGTAGGCAGGGTGTTCCTTGGCTCCATTCGCCCACTCTGTCTAGCATTCTGCCCTTCATGTCCTCTCAGAATGTGCCTGGTTCTGAGCTTCAATCCTGGAATCTTCAGAGGACAGAAGGCAGGGTTGGGGTTTTTAGGAGTGTATCTGTCTTTACCCATGGGTGGAATGTTAGGGAGGAGACACTTTGGAAGGAGTCACATTAGGCAGGTTTCATTTGAGGATGCCCATGGTCAGGCCCCTCTGGCTTAGCTGGATTTGCAGGAGTGAATTCTGCTGGATGTTCTTTGACTCCTGCTGAATCTGCAGTGGGGCCCTATGCCCTGGTGGGTGCAGGGACTGTCTGGTAGCTGCGATTCTCAGGGCCCATCAGTATCTCTGTCTTAGTTTAAGACCCTCCTTCTGCCTATAAAGCTGGACTTTGCTCGCTTGCTCACAGTGCCCATCCAAGGAGTCTGGGCTGGTGTCTCAAGCATCCCCGTTTAAAAGAGCTAGTAGCAGGTGGGAGTTGAAAGGCCTAGTCCAGGATAAGGCTGAACTGCCACCTCTGTTTTTCAGGGAACTGTACAGGTTGCTCTGCCACCTTCTCGGTGCTGAAAAAGAGGGTAAGTGTCTTTGAGGGTGTGTTTGCTAGGGATAGTGTGATCTTGTGGGGGAGTTGCTGGGAGTCATTGATGAAGTCTGACTCCTTGGATCTCAATGGGTCTGGTGTCTGGTTTGCTAAAGTGAGCGTGTCATCCCCTGTCCTTGTGCCTATGTCTTTGCCTGCCTTCCCAGATGCTGTTCCAGTTTTCTTGGGTGGGATCAGCTGGTGAAAGGAGGCAGGTGCTGGGGTCTCCAGGTGCCTGGGGTAAGGGACATATCTGACCTTGGCTTTTGTCTGCAGCGGAGCTGCAGTAATTGTGGAAACAGCTTCTGCTCTCGATGCTGCTCCTTCAAGGTGCCCAAGTCCTTCATGGGGGCAACAGGTGAGTGGTGCAGGTGATGGGGACAGGATAGTGGGAGAGCTTGGCTGGGTTTCCCCCAGAGGATGTCCCATTGTGGGAAAGAGCAGGGATGTGAGCGAAAAGTCAAGGGAACTTGCAATTGTAGTCCAAGGCCTGCAGTGACATTTCCTTCATCCCCTTCAACAAACCAAACCTGGAGACATTTGATACATTCTGAAGAATAGAGATGATATACCTGTGCATTATGAAGTGTAAAAACTAAATAAATACCTGTGACTATTTCACTAAAGTTAAAAAACAAGCGCATCAGTAACACACCACTGAGGCATCTCAGCACCACTCCTGCCTTCCCAGAGAAAACCACCATCCTGAATTTTGATCTTTTTCTCACTTCCTAAGTATCATTTTTAATAAAATAGAAAAATCTTTTTTCCTTTTATAAAAGCTGTACATATTTGTCATTAATACAGCCAAAAGTACAAATAAACAAAAGGAAGAAAACTATTCATATAGTCTCCTGGAGAGGAAGCTTGGGTGTGGACCCTGCTTGTTCAGGAGCATGCCTGTAGGATAAATGCATATGCATGTTCTTGAAAAGTATGATTATATTTCACCTGTTTTGTGTTATAACATTAAACCAAAAAATTTTCCCATCTGATATGTAAGTACCATATGTTTATTAACTAGAAAATTTGGAAATTATTACACAGAAGAGAGAAATAGTCTTGGCGCCCGTAGCTCAGTGGTTAGGGTGCCAGCCACATACACCAGGGCTGATGGGTTTGAACCTTGCTCGGGCCTGCTAAACAATGACAACTACAATAAAAAATAGCCAGGCTTTGTGGCGTCTGCCTTCCCCTGCCCCTCGTCCCATGCAGTGTGAGGCCAGGTCAGCAGAGTAGAAGTCCTAGAGCCTTGGAGGACTGGGAAGTACTGGGTCTCCCTGGGCTGGGTGCTAGATTCCTGGACTATTCCCTGGAGAACAGTCTGAATTATGAGATATGGCCAGTTTGGGTTCCCATCCACTTTCTAAGTACCGATAGTCCCAGGTACTTGGGAGGCTGAGGCAAGAGAATTGCTTAAGCCCAAGAGTTTGAGGTTGCTGTGAGCTGTGACACCACAGCATTCTACATAATAAGACATAATGAGACTCTGTCTCAAAAAAAACCAGAAATAATCCTGTAGTCCTACCACCCAGAGATAACATCACTTTTAAAACATTTTGAGAAATTTCACTCTGGTATTTTGGTGCCAAAATTCTTTGTAATGCATAGTCTACCTGGGAGAGGACTGCCGTTGGTGTTGTTGCCCCAAAGCCCATGGAGAGAGAGTCTTTGCAGACAGACTAGAGAGCTGGGTCAGAGAGGATATAGGCTGGGTGGTGGGTGGTCTGTGGAAGGCTTTTGGGAGGGGAGTTCTAGTAGCTCGGGTGTCTCACTAAGTTCTTCCTTTCAGCCCCTGAAGCCCAGAGAGAGACTGTGTTTGTGTGCGCCTCGTGCAACCAGACTTTGAGCAAGTGAGAAGAGGTGCCAGGGTCCAACTGGGCGCCAGACCCTGGGGCCAGCAGCAGACCTCCCCACCCCAACCCCTGGCTCCCTGTGGTGTGTACTGGGCAGATGTAGCCTGGATGCTAGGTAGGCATCCCCTTTCCTTCCCTCACTGCCTCCAGCTGGGTTCTGGAGCTGTCCCCCACTCCTGCAGGTCGCTGACATGCCATCTAACCCTAGGGGAGAGGAGTCCCCTGGAGAGCTTGGTGTGTGTTCCCTGCTCTGCTTTGGGCTTTTAGTGGACTCAGGGCTGGGCAGGAAATATCCACTAGAGGGCAGCAGCGAGCTAGGCCTGATCCAGCTGGGCTCAGATGATCAGGGCCACTGTGGCCACACTTGGGAAATTCTAGGAGACCTGAGGTTGGGAAAAGTGTTCTTCCCTTTCAGTGTATTGGGCCAGGCCCAGCTCTTGTGCTCGAATGTTCCTTCATGTACCAGGATCTGATCATTTTCCCATCAGAGGGTGTGGCCCTGGCTAACAAGACCAAGCGTGCTTCTAGAAGCAGCACTGATGTTCCCAAGTTCCAGAGGAGAATGTGTATAGAAGGGTTGGCCGAGTCCTTCAGTGTTAAGTGGAGAAAAGCATGGAGAGATCCTAACAGCTCAAAGGACCTTAGCCCCCTGCCTTGCAGAGACTGACTTGCAGATCTCAGCCCACATAATGCCCTGGTGTCCCCCCAGCTCCACTGAGCAGCAGCAGTATACTCAAATCACTCATTTTTCTCCTGCCGAGTATCTAGGCAGCTCTCCCCTGTCCCAGCATTCTGTCTGCCTTCCCTTGCCCCTCGTCCCGTGCAGTGTGAGGCCAGGTCAGCAGAGTAGAAGTCCTGGAGCCTTGGAGAACTGGGAAGTACTGGGTCTCCCTGGGCTGGGTGCTGGATTCCTGGGCTATTCCCTGGAGAACAGTCTGAATTATGAGATATGGCCAATTTGGGTTCCCATCCCCTTTCCAACAATTTTATGTTCATTTCTGGATTCTTAGGGGCTCTCAGTGTCTCTCCCTGAGCCATGAGCTGGCTCAGGCACCCCTTCCCTGCCCTGCCTTTTTGAAGTATTTATTTATTTATTGCATGGTTCTTGGGAACATGTAGCACAGGGAATGGGATGAAAAGGGGGGCCTCTACCACTTAGAACTTTGGGTTGTGGGCTGCCTGGGGCCCAGAACCAAAGATGGCTGAGAAGTTTCTGTACCCGAGGAGGCAGGATGAGGAGACAAGGGACACATCTTAGGCCAGCTTTCTCGCCAGGCCACGCAGTTTAGCTTGGGCTTGGCAGTCAGGGACCCAACCCAGGCCTCTGGAGGTGCCCATCCCTGGGGAGCCAGGCGGGACTTGGTATCCCCCCTTTGTTCTGTTATAGGATGAGAGAACTAAGTATCTTGTACTTTGTGTATACTGGAGAGGAATGAAAATGATCTATGTGTATATGGAGCATTATTAATAAAAAGCCTCAAGCTGCTTATGTTTTTGTCCTGTCCTTGCACTGATGTTCTTACTGAGGCTGGAGGACTGGCTCTCCTGGCACTGCCCAGTTTGTAGGCCTGGGCTCTGTGCCTAGACAGAGGGGCAGGGCTTTTGGGTACCCTCAAAGGCAGGGGCACGGGAGCTGCAGTCTGGTCTGGTGTGAGCTGGGGCCCAGAAGGAGGAAAGCGGTGCCTTGCACCCAGGAGAGGCTCAGCACATGCTTGTGGGATTGACTTGCAGCCCTGTCTTATGACCAAATTGTGAGGGTCCAGGCCTGGGGGTTGGGGTTGGGACCACTATGCAATGTAGGCTTTAGAATAGAAAGACTTTAATCCCTCTGAGAAAGCTGAAAAAGATCAGCTCTTCAGGAGGCTGAAAAACAGCAGGAAAGAGGATTGGCTACGAGGTGGCAAGTGCAAGCTGTGCCCAAGTTATGCCCTAGGGCTGGGGAGGGTGGAGGGTTACTGGGTGCTAGGCACGGTGGGATGCGGTCTGCACATGTCACTTCATTTACCGCTCACCATAACTGTGAGGTAGGCACTGCTCTCCCCAAAGTGGGAGCAGAGAGCCCCAGTCCCAGCCGCAGTAGAGGGTGCCTGCTGCAGGCCAGTGCCATGCTGGCCCAGTTTTCCATCTGCTGAAGCAGGGTTGGGCGAGTCTGGCCCCGTCTCGCCATGCAGCTTTCCTCATCTGTGCAGTGGGTGTGATGGTAATATCCCATGTGGGGCTGCGTGGGGATGAAAAGAGAGTCCACTGAGGTCGGAGCACTCGTAAACACTACCTCATTGCTATCCTTCTGACAACCTTCCTGGGGACAGCAGCTCTGGGAGGCTCTTGGGTGGCTTAGAATGGTGGTTTGTTTATTTAAACTAGAGAATAACTTCAGGTTATTATTTAGAGAAGAATATCAGGGAGAGGCATGAGTGTAGTCTGAAAAAGCAGAATCAGTATCATTTTATTTTTGGAAAATGAAAACAATGCTTAATGTTGGTGAAATCCTGACTGTAATAGGCGTAACCTGAAGCCTGGCCCTGGGGTATGGGTTACAGAGATGTAAGAAAAGTGGTTTCCATCCTCAAGGGTCAGCAGCCTCAGAGCAGGGAAGCTGGGGGCTACCTCCTTGTCCTCTTGAGGTGCATGTGAAAGTAGGCAGGGGATGGCGACTTTGATGTACAGTTACCACCAAGTGAAGCCACGGGCCATGGAGGCATCTGGCAGGAGGGGTTGTGCTTTGCAGCTGGCTGAGTCAAAGGCGTGGAGAGGACCCACACATGGGCAGCTTGGTAGACAGACTATTCATTGTAGCATTGGATGCCTGGTTTAAACGAAACCCTCCAGTTTGTTCTCCGGCAGCCAAGGGGAGGGGTTGGAGAGCCAGGCTCTGCTGTAGCCCTGGCACCTGCGAGGCAGACCTGGGACTCCAGCCCCCACAGCCCGGCTTGGATTCAGGGTTCTGCCCATCCTTTGTGTGGTTTATTCATGGTTTTGAACAGTCTGCAGTGAGCCCTAGCTGACTTTGAACTGGCAGTCTTTAGGATTTCTGGCCCTTGGAGCTGAGGCCACATGAAACTCTCTGTCTTCTTCCCCTTGTCCCCATGGAAGCTTCAAGACAGCCCCTTGGGCCGTGGCCCAGCATCTGTCCTATCGGTGGTAGCCCTCAGGATAGTAATACCTGTGTATGGAACACCTGCAGCAGGCAGCATGCTGAGTGCATCATCTCATTTAGACCCCATGACAGTCCCTGGAACTAGGTTCTGTTGTAACTCTGTTTAACAGATGAGTAAATAGAGGCATGGGATGGTTAAGTAACCCACCCAAGGTCACAGAGCTGTTAAGCCATGGAGCCAGGATGTGAATTGTGCCGCAGGTGCTTGTAAAAGCCTCACAAGAGAGCCTTTAGATGAACATAGCAATCCTGACACCCACTTTCCCTTCTGTTCTGCCTGGCCCTTTCCAGATCCAGGAACTAGCCACTGAGCTACCAGGAGGGAGCTGCCCACTAGGCATAATCCCACCACCCCCGAGTCCTAATGGAGTGAGCTCAGTCTTGAGAACAGAGGCAGCCTTGTGGCAGCAGCCCCTCAGCTCCCACAACTGCCACCTCCAGCCTTGGCTGGGTATGTTTTAACACTCCAGAGCAGCACATTCCATTCTCTGGCACAGCTGGGGGCTGGGGATTCCGGATTCCCCTGGCTGCCTGCTTTTTTCCTGGCCCCTGCAGAGCCTGCTGTCTGGGCTGGGACACTGGGTCCCAGCCACACACATTCCAGCAGCAGCCACCCCCCATGCTATTTTTCCCAAGGAGTGAACTTTAGCCAGGATTACAGCCGACTAAACAGTTGTGGGATGTGAGCTTCCTTTGTGGGGACCTAAGAGGCTGGCTATTGGCAGGGCTGAGAGGGGAGGATGGTTGGGGGTGAGCTGTCTCTGGGAATCAGGAGAAAAGCTACTGGCTCCTCTGTCTCTGTCTGGGCTCTTGGAGTGGGATGGGGAAGGGGTCCCAGAAATTTTTCTGGGAGACAGGTTGGCAGAAGCACAGCTACTGTCCCCCCAGCTTGTCCTTAACTTCACCCCTGCAGAGTGGTTGACAGCATGAGGTCAGATCCTAGCACCACCTTGTGCAAGCTGTGTGACCTCCAATAAGTTTCTTAACTTCTCTGAACCTCTGTCACCATTATTAAAATGTCACTACTTCAAAGGCAGTTGAGAGGTTTAAATGAGAATATGAAAGTGTTTTGAATATTGCCTGCTACCTATTGTGGCCTTGATATTTATTGATTACTAGTACTATATATTTCTTTTTTTTTTTTT